AAATCATCTTTATAAAAATAGTTCAATTTTACCTGTAGAAATATTAGCTCCTGTTCAATACACTCCGATTAAGAGCCTCCAGCAATATAAATCACAATTGACTTTTAATTTTTATTTAAAGCATGAACATGTGAAATGACCGTAATTCTTAACCTGCATTGTGACTTTTTCATTTCTGAACCTTAGATTTTATATTATGCATCACAATAAATAATCAGTTATTTATCATAACTCAATTAGATATTGTAGACAGCAAATCATCATTAAAGCACTCTCTTATTATTAATGTCAGGACTTGACAAAATCTAATGACAAAGGAATATCCTGTAACGATAAACCCTTCATATTTATAAACTAAGTAGTTAGCAGCATTTCAATCATTTCAGGAAATTAAACAATATTCGTGTACACAGAATGTATTCAACAGAATAATCTAAAAGAATACCTCACCAAGGTCTGCAATGCAAAGAAAAAGAGCTCTTTATATCACTAATCAGCCTGCGATCGTGATTTAACGTACCATTTATGATTAATAAAAATGAAGTCGTTTATTTTGAACAAGTTTATAGCAAATAATAGTAATTTTCTTCTTATTAAATATTTTATCTTACCACAAACTCCGAATTTCCTAGATTTTAGTCCTATTTAAATGGATGAAACTTTAGTCAAAACACAACATACTGCAGTAACAAGATGTAATCTCTAGATCTGATCATTTAAAAATCATATTTCGGGAGGTAGGCTTTGCAGAGATGCATAAATTATGAAAATAATGAAATTATTCAAGCTCAAAGTCCATTGAAACACTACAAATTGATAGATACAGGATCAGTAGGTATACTGGTCCCTGCTAGCAAAGCAGGTAACAACATTCATGTATTGTCTTCGTCTGTAAAGCTCATTATATAAATTATACTTCAGAAGAACTTGGATTTAATTCTACAAGTGGTTATCCAACTTCTACTCATAGTTCCCTTTCTAAGGAAGAAATTCTTTGAAATCATATGTCAGTTTTGAATATTTTTAATACTTGTATCCGAAACAAGCAAAATGAATTTGAATTACCATATCTATACTGGAGTCCAAAATGTCATAAAAATTCTTACAAAGATTGAAGCAGGTTTCAGGTTCCAGTAAATGTTCAACCAAGCCTCTTTTTTTACTCCTCACCAAGATATTACCATGCAGTAGTGAAGGTAAAACTTCAAGAGTACTGTGAAACAAAATTTTCGAGAAGTGGTGTAAATCAGATGTGGATACTAAAAAATTCCAAGGAACTTATGGACAATTTGAAATCACAAGATTCTACCAAAATCAGCTAAAAAACTTGACACTTTTCAACTTAGTACACAACCATTTCTCTCGATAAATTAAAGTACAACCTTTTTTATATCATTGACATCTGATTTTCAATAAAATTGGAACTCGTAGCTTTACTTTCATTTTCATTGTTCATTTGCAAAATAATTTCGTTAAAAAACATTCTCGATCTAATTGTACACACAAGTACTCTAAAGATGACATCATAAGATGCTTGATTTTCTGATTGACAATATCTATGTTGTTTTTAGAAACCAGGTCTTCCAACAATCTATTGGAATTCCCATAGGTACCAAATGCACCCCGTAATTACCAGACCTATTTTTGTATTCATATGAAGCAGAATTTGTGCAAAATCTTATGCGTGAAAAGAAGAAAACACTTACTGTGGTCTTCAACATTTGACATTTCGATATATGGACGACGTATTGTCAATAAGGTTATTTCCATTCCTATGTCGCGATTTCTCTATATCCCGGTGAGCTTAAGATAAAAGATACCACGGATGCAGCTGATACATCGATGTCGTATTTGGATATTTTACTTGAAAAAGACGTTAATGATAATCTAACAACCAAGCGCTGTGATTAACATAATGACTTCAACTTTTGTAACTTCCCTTATTACTTGTGCAGCAATATACTTTCATCACCTGCATACGAAGTTTATATCTCTCAGTTGATTCGATATGCAAGAGCATGCTATACGTGTGTTCAATTTCTAAAATCGAGGACCTTTCACGGTAGCTCATTCGGTAGAGCGCTTGCTCCGTGATAGGGAAGTCGTGAGCTAGAATTTCGACTGCGACTGACCTAGGTCGATAAAAAATGGGTAGCAACTGTTCCTTCGCCATGCTCTTGGCACTTTGAAGTGAAAGGTCCTTCGGATAAGACCTTAAAAACCGCCGGAGGCCTCGTGTCACGGCAGGTCCTGGCACGAAAAAGAACCCTCACTGCTCAGAACCCTTACTGAGTGCAAGTAAAGGTCAAACTTTGAAGTCCATCACCGGTATATGGTGACGTCTCTAAATGAGTGAAAAATTCTCGATAGGGACGTAAAACAACATACAATCAATCTAAAACGAGGTAAATTATTGACAAACAAGTTGATGAAACAAGGATATCAGCAGTTTTGTTTAAAGTCATCATTTCGTAAGGTCCATGGTCGATACAATGAACTTGTCAGCAAAAACAATGTAGCATTCATTATTTGAGTCAAATGTGGACCGACTTTTTTTTTCATACCAATTATTTACACACTGGATTGAAGACGGATTTTCCGTTATTTCCCGATCATGACAACGGTGTGGCTTGTCGGCAGGGGATACTCACTCCCATGTCACCTGATCCCACCTCTGATATTTCGGAGGTCTGTGTTTGCTCTGATTCTATTTTAAATTTGTATTGTTTAATGGACTTTTGAGCTTGAATAATGTTCGTTATCTCCATATATATATTTCATAGAAAAGTTGAAGTCATCACGTTTGTCATAAACTTTTGTTTGATTGCCATTAACGTCTTATTCTGATAAAATATCCAATAAATGCGTCAGATTTTAGGTACATTTTTTATTTCAAGTTCACTTGGATATATCACGTCGATATGAATGAAATTTATTGATCACGAATGATACGTCAGAAGATTTAAATGTTAAGTTGAAGGCAACGTGTTTTCTTCTTCTCATGTACATATATACAGTGTATAACTTTGTGAGTAAATTCTGCTTTATATGAATACAAAAGTAGGTATGCTAATACATGTAATGGGGCGCAATTTGGGCCCATAGGAATTTTAACAAATTGTTGAAAGACCTGACCTGCAAAACTACATACATGAAGATATTGTCAATCAGAAACTCGAGCATCTTTTTAATAGCAAATTCATAGTACGTGTGTGTACAATCAGAATGTGTCCTAACCAAAAAAAAAAAATGCAAAAAATACCATTGACGAGGTAAGTGATTTTCCGAGTTGCGCCTTAGCAGTCTATAAGATGTCACAATGGCTGGACTATAATTTATTTCGAGAAATGTTGTAAAAATGTCGAAAAATTGTAATTAATTTCAATGTTACTGATTTTGGAAAAATGATTTCAAATATTCTACAAGTATTTATGAGTTTTAAGTATCTAGATCTGATTTACACAACTTCTCAAAAATACATGTACAACAAAACATTGTATGCTTATTTCTGAGATTTTTATATTATACAGATGTGTTCCTTGTATCAAGACCATTTTCCTTAAAAGGGCATGGTCATAGTTTCACCTAAATTTTCAAATTCATTTAACCATTTTCAAAAAAAATGAACAAAGGTTTCTCTAATGATTATCAAAAATTTGAATTTCAGTTGTCGAGATACAAGACAGATTTAGAGCTCCAAACCTTTGTTATGTAAACAGGGTCCGTGTCATGTTTTTATTTACATAGATTAATATACAAATATATGTTCGTCCGAAGCTGAATTTCAGTAAAAAAAAAAGTTAATTCTAAATAAGATTCGACAGTTTCTAGTGATTTGCTGATTTTCATTTTGTTATAAATATGATATTTTATATATGTAAACAGAAACAAGGCACAGACCTTGTTTACATTATGAAGAACTTCAAGTTCTGTATCTTGTTGTTAATCAACAAATGTTGATCAAATTTTTGGCTGATCATTAGAAGACGCCTTAGTTAGGAATTGTAAACATAAAATTTGGTTTAAAAAATTCTGTTAAAACTGCCAATTTATTTTACCTTGACCTTGAAGTTTGACCTTATTTTGTAAAAAATTTAACCTTGAGCATACTTTCTGAACGTTTGCTGCAGGTGCTCTCCTATTTTACATGTGTATTTCTTTTGACATAGACCTTTTTAAATCTTTTGGCCATGACCTTTGAGTTTACTTGTATTTGAACAATTTCAACCGTCGTCATGAGCTGCCATGCTGGGTAATCATGTCTTGTTCCTACATTGAACTATAAATAGATTAGTCAATCGCAAGTTTTTTCCAAGTTCTCCCAAACCCTCCAAAGTGAAAATAGATATAAACATTTTTTGTAAAGCAGGCCCGAAGTACACGCTGTGGGTGGTCAGGGCTGGGGGTGGGTTGGGGTTGTGTACCCCTCCCCCATTTTTATCTGAAAACTTCTGTTTGGTGTAGTTTTACTACATAAATTGTTATTTTGAAGCTGAATCCCCCTTTTTTGTTGCTGTACGGTCAAACACAGGCACATTTTATTTTTAAAGCCTTTCCTCTTTCCCTGAAATAGGACTTGGGCAGTTCAATTTTTTTTTTTTTTTTTTTTTTTTTTGCTTATTGATATTTTTTAGTCCTCTCATTAAAATTGATTCTTTGGACTTAAATAGATTTGGAACATCCAAATTGAACCATTACTTGTGTTTATTTTGTGAAATATAAGAGCCCCCAACATCTATGGTTTAGAATTTATTGTCAGGGATAAGCTTTGTAAAATTTTGCAAAAGAGGGCAAAGTCCTTGGTCAAGAGGTCAAATTAGTTGATATCCAAAGACAGCTCTTGTAACAAGAAATCCCATAGGTGAAACATGAAAGAACTAGTTCCTGCCAATCAAAGATTATAGGCAAGGTAAAAGTTTTTGCAGACACACAGACAGATGAGTTGACAGAGAAACAGAGAAATATTTAATTCATGAATTTTATTTTCAATAATAGGGGAAATGAAACTATAAACCTAAAATATTGTGCATGTGAACAAAACCAATCTTAACTAATCAGTTGCAGAGATATAGGAATTATTCAGTCATATAAAATTTGTGTAGGATGGCTATATCATAACTTTTTTTTAACAAGTTGTAAATGAATTTGGAATTTAGAATTTTAAGTACAAAATCAAAATTACTAAATGAGAATGGGGATTTTTCTATATTATCATTAAAATCACTTTCATAATTACTAAAATTGAGAATTTAATAAAATGCAATAATTTACAATATATTTCTTTCAAAAACAACTACATGCATTTCAATCAGATTTTGGCCTATCGATTCCTAAAATGCAAGTTACAAAAATCCCGAATTTTACAGCTACTATCAACATATTTAAAACCAAAAATAACCAACTTATGGAAATTGATACTTAGAATTCATAAATTAAAATGTACACTAAGGTTCATGCATATTCTTGTATCAGTTATACATCTGCAGATTTTATGGCAGCCCTAAGCTTAGCTGATCGACTCCGGGGGTTTTCCAGAACCTCTTCCTCTTCAGGGGTCGTGACCTTCTTACTGACGGGAATCCACCTCTTCTTTAGGATAATCTTGATCAGTTCTTTGTCGTATTTCTGGTGGTGGTCCCGCATCATCCGTGACTTCTGCTTCACTGACAAGTTTTTGGCTTCGTCCATCTCAATGCCATGGAAATGTCTCTTGAATATGCGGTCTTCTAGAGAATGAAATGAGATTCCGACACAAACACCTCCTGGTTTTAGATAGTGATATGCTACCTCTAATCCATTGTTGATTTCATTTAGTTCGTTATTAACAAAGATTCTCAAGGCTTGAAATGTACGAGTGGCAACATGGCTTTTCCTATTTAATTTGTCCCTCAAGATTTTCCTGTGAATTGCAATATTCATTTTTACATATTAAAAGGAGCATTATTATAGAGAGAAAAAAAATTCCTGAAAATATACAATTAATGAATTACACTGTACATGTATTTTTTAAAAAAATTATTATTAAAATGATTTGGTCATTGATAAAGAACAAATGTATATTTCTTAAGATTTTTGATATACTGGGTGCTCAGAATACTGGGTAGCTCTGCTTGGAGGCTTGTGTAACAAATTAGATAAATTCAATTTGTAAAAGTAAAATTACATTTACAAGACCCATGAAAATCTATTCACATTTTATCAGTATTTTCCCTGTTTATAGATTTCATCTAATATACACTCTTTACTTCTTAATAACTATATGTAAGACACCATTTTTCCTAAAAATTATAACAGGTATTTTTGTAGCTTAGTTCAGTATTTTTATTTTAAAATTCTTACTCTTCAAAAACATTTTCAATGACTTCTGCCAGCTGTTTGGTGGTAGTTATTTTTCCCATGACATAGCGGGCCTCTACAATGGCGTGGGCGATCTGATTAGCAATGTGGTCCTCTCCGTATTTCTTGATTATGTCCCTCAGTTCCTGGACAGAGAGGTGATTGACCACATCCATGGCAGTGACACTATCTGGATCTCTGTAAACATTTAACATATTGACAGTCATCAGCTACAGCAAAACATGCTTATAACAAAGTGGCAAGGAAGGATGATTTTATACAATAGTCCAATCCACACTTTGAAAAAGTTGTTTCCCTTTGCGGGGTCAACCAAAAGGTCAATAGGGAAAGAAACATCATTTATCCTCTTTATGCTACCAATATTTGGGCATTGACATGCTCTGATAAATCCATTGTGTTTAATTTTTTTTTCTTTCAATGTGTGGGTAGCCCCATCTTGGGGCAATCAATACATAAAAGGCAGAGCTTTTTAAAAGTCAAATGACTAAGTTACAAACCTGCAAACTACAAAGGCTAGTGTGTGGATTGTATGGGTTTATCCCCTAAGATGGCGGCCAAGGGACATAACTTTTGCAAAGTGTGGATTGGACTATTATAAATGTAATTTTTTATATTTGTTAAGCTTACATCATATCTTAAATGTCCTGGAAAATTAAATTCAGTTCACTGTCTCATTTCATTAAAAGCTGAATGGTATGTTTACTCTATTTTCTTCAAGACTACCGGGTAATAAATTTATTCAAGCACCTGTTTCATATTTTTTTGTTCACTGCATTATAAATCTGCTTACCTCCCTTGATCCATCCTCATATCCAGTGGGCTGTCTCTGCTGAGGGAAAACCCTCGATTACTTTGGTCGTACTGCATGGAGGAAGCCCCCACATCAAAGAGAATCCCATCCACTGATCCAGGGGTTATCCCAAGCTGGTAAAGTATCTGTGGTGTCTCAGAAAACTTGCCTAAACAAGTTAACACCTGACCTGGCCTGTCAATGTATGAAATTAATATTTCAGCAAAAATTTCACTATTAACTGTACATTAAATGAGGACATTATATATTATACATTTATATGTATAATCAGGTAATGCACATTTTGTTTGACTTTATTTCTTTTTTCTATTAAATATAAATAAATCATGTCATATATTGGAATGATTACAACCTAGGAGACATGATATCATATATGCTGCTCTATCATGTGTAATCATGGTAGAAAAATTCCCTAAATCTTTCATCTATTAAATATCAAATCCATGCTGCATTTAGAAACATACAACCAAGTAGATGTATTATATTTGTATAAATTCAAAAAGATTTTTTTTTTCATTTATAGACTAATTTTAAGCATCAATTAGATAACCTAATCTTCCAAGTGACTGCTTTGATTTAAAAGTTGCTACGTACATTGTATTACATTTACATTATCAACATAGATGGATTAGATTCAGAATTAGTTGTTACTTGTAGGATTTGGCCAGTTCCTGAGCATAGCTGAAGGCTAGAGGGTCTCTATCCACACATACCACTCGGGCCTCAGGGTTCTCGGTCAAAATAGCCTTTGTATGTCCCCCAGCTCCAAAGGTCATATCAATAAATAACTGCAAAAAATTCTCACAACATAAATATAAAATGATCTAGAAAAAAGACGCATTCAAAAAGGTCCCTGCTAATGTAATAAACTTCAATAAACACAACTTATGAAATACAGTGTAACTGTAAAGTCTAGAATAAACATGTGACAAGTGTGAATGTGGTCACCTGTCCCTGTTGAGGATTAAGAACTTCCAGGACTTTCTTTACCATCACTGGTACATGTTTAATCTCCTCTGATGAGTCTTCAACAGACCTAGGACTGTAACTTAAATCCTCATCACTATTGTCAGATATATGATGTACATCTGAATCTGAGCAGATTCCATTGTGGCCTGTAATCTGAAGATTTAGTTTTCCACTCACTGTTTTTACATGACAACAGGTTTGGGTCTTTGATGGTTTCTGGATTGGTAGAACTGCAAAATGTGAGATGGATTATTCAGCTGAAAGCACTATGCTACTATCATTATATTATGTCAATTAGCTGTTACAATAATGCAAGAGAAAAAAAAACGAAAATGACTTAAAAATTTATCAATTCAGTATGTTTAATTTAAATCAAAGATCTGGTGAAACACTAAATCACAATACAGTTCATAATTTTACCCTAGAAGTATTAACCATGCTACAAATTAACCAGTACATATTTTAAAGGAATTGTATACATAATAGTACCAGAACATGAATTAGCGGTATACCACAAGCAAATGATCCCTATACACTGCATGTCTAAAAATTTTCTCCTTTGGCTTTCCTGTTACAGTGTACAACTGCATGTCTGAGATGAATGGAAATAGCTAACTGTAGCTCATATAAATATATTCCATACTAAAAATGTACAATATATTTTGGTGGAAAGAATCCTTCCCTGAAGGACACGTATTTACATTTTTTTACTCCTTCTTACCTGAGAACAGGTGTCTCCTAATTGTAAATAGACAAGAATAGGAGAAGGCTTTCTTCATACACCAACTTCTTAATGCCATGTCACTATAAATCAGAGATGACTTAATTTACTGGAACAATCTTTCATGCCTGTCAGGGGGCCCTTGATTGAACATAAACTATTGCCTATATTGGAAAAATCAATTCACATAGAAACACATTCTTGCAATGCCAGGAGTCCTGATTCCATAAGTTGCCATTGGACCCCTGACAAATCATTCAGTATTTTGTGGGCTGATTTAGCAAAGTCTTTCTGAAAAATTTACAAATCTTTATTGTTTTTCTCATCTCTCAACCATGCACTATGATAAACAACATGTGCAATTGAGGTGTAAACTGAATTTTAACCCAACTATCTATGAACAAGATGAAAGCTTTAATTTGACTGCATAGTGCCTATCAATGAGATATAGAAATTAATTAAAGCACGCCCAAAATATTGAATGAAATTTAATTGCCAGGGGTACAATGGCAACATGTTGACTCATGCAGGATCACTGGCATTGCTAGGATGATCGATAGAAGTAAACTTTACTGTACAAGTCCACTCCATAATCATAATATTATATTTTTTACAACTAGACTTTGCCTAATAATTTATTAAATATTTTTTTTAATCTGAAAAAAAGAAAGAAAAAAAACATCCTTTTCTTAATATTAATCTCAATTATTATGTAATCAGTTAAAGAAAATTAACAGAATAGATTAGTCATTTAAAATTAAGATGCATTTAAACATGTTAAAGTGAAATTTCTCAAATGACAAGATCCAATGGAATTATCAACAAGTGATTAGTTAGTTAGAATAATCTAACTGTGTCTCGGTACAAGCCCTCACCGTTAAACCGGGTCCGTAGGACAATATAATTTTAACGATAGAACATTCTATCTAGTGATTAGTGAACAACTTTCATTTTGAGAACAGAGTTGTAGAAAATATGCCTATATATCTTTATTCTATGTTGATTGAAACATTCGGCAAACGTACTACTTATTCAGTCTTTCCAAATTTAAAATCCCTGATTGAAAGGGTACCAAAAAGGGTCAAATAGCCATAATGCACCTGTCACCGAATATCAACAAATCCACATGGTAAACTGGTACTGTTGATCAATGAGAACCAGACAAATGACTAACAACGCCTCCTTGCGGGTAAACAAGTGCAGCGGAAGTAGCAAATGTAGTCGTACAACAAGAAAAATTGACAAAAAATATGTGACAGAGAAAGTACACATTTTCAAAGACACTGATAAAAAAAATATTCAGAATGGGATGCCGCAGTGAAAGTGGGGTTAGATGCTTGAGAATTTTCGTCATAACCGATGCTATATTGATATGGGTAAGTTGTGAAACCCGAATGGCATATTTTAGTTTTTGGGATTTTCATGACAAATTCTTTGTGATTAACAGAAGAAAATAACATTTTTGAAAACCACTTTCATTTAGGTATTTTATGAAATACCAGAGTAAAATATATGAATGGCTTTTCGAATTGTAATAACCTAATATTTACAACATGTGAAATTTTCATTCCTTCTGTATACTGCTTTATAAATCATATGGAAAGTTCATAAATATTGAAATAAATGAGGAAAAAAGTAAAGTAAATTGTTAATTTAGAATTCACAGTTAGATTAATATAGAGTTTTCAAATAATTAAAGATGTTTTAGAGAAGTACAATGCTTTTCATATATTTAACATATACATGTATGTGTGGCTTTTGTCCAAAAATTGCAAACTTGAAAGTTTTTGTTATGAACACAGTCACACCGTTCATTGCCTAATGTATATTTTGGCACTGTGAAATGAGAGGGGAAAAGGAGTATCTCATAACAACAAATGCTAAAACACAGTTTACATTTATAGCATTAGTATGCTCAAAATGAATTGGGGACGCTTACAGCAAACATGAATTTCATTCCCCCATGGCCACACTTCAAAAATAATTATATTGTGAACCTAACTAACAAAGTGAATAGCATGTATAATAAAGCAAAATTATTCATCCTTGGTACTTCGTAACGTTATAAGTGCATTTTACTGTATTGACCATTGAGATAGAAATATGTGGCAGTCAGACACCCATGTCAGATACCCATGAGTGGTCTTGTCTATTACTCACCACAGTAAACATGGTAAAAAAGGATATTATCACCCCTGGGTATCTCATGATGGCTGACACAATGCCTTGGAAATATCATGTGAAAGAACTGCCAGGGAAGGTCTAGGTTGAAGGCTATAGGGATGAGGACCCTGAAGGAGGGAGGAATGTTGTAGAGCACCTGTTTAGTAATTCAGGGGTCTTGGGCTCAGATTCTTGTCTGGTTCAGTCATGAATTCAGTTTTCTCATTTACTGTTATATTTGGTGCCACTAACTACCCTTGGACTTACAGGAGAAGGTCCTGTGAGGGGTAAAAGAATCTGGGTTGGGAATGTAAAGAGGTAGGACTAGGAAAAGAAGTGGTATGGACTTAATAGGGATCATGGGTATTGGTCTGGATCACTCAGGGGTTACTGATTATAGAGTATGTGTCTACTAATGCTGGGGTCTCTGTTTTCATACCAATAGAATATTACATATATACATGTATTGTCATAATATTACATATACCAGTATATTGTCTTAATATTGTTGTGTAGAATAGTTCTACAAACACAATGTCACTGACAGCTAGTTGGTTATTTGTTTAATTCAGTTTAACTATGAGAAACTTGGCTTTGTATATATCCATGCAGAAAAAATACATGGTACATGTATGCTATTTTTGGGGGGGAGGGGGGGGGGTACATGTACATTTATTTAGCATATCTTGTTGATGTCTGGAAACATTGTCTGTCATGCAATGTCATTGTCTAGCTGTCATAAAATCCTAAAAGTGAATAAGTGTCAGTGTGTGTGTGAATATTTAATTGCACTTCATATATGTGGAGTAGAACCTAAGACAGAAAATGCACCTCTAGAAAATAAAAACTGGCAAATTTATTATCCATATATTATAAGCCTTCCATGAAATAATGTGTGTAACCAACATTATAGACTCACTTTATGAATATGAAGTATGCAATCAAACAACAATTAGGGTAATGTATAAATGTATTAGGATTGTACTTATATAGTATTACATGTATTGTGTTTTGCCATTGTCATGTATAATCATGATAAAGAGCCATAACATCTCTGCCAATTAATGTTTTCCATTTGCATTACCATTTACATTTAGAATAGTCTATAGAGCCACAGTCAGTATATTTTTGAATTGATTTATAATGATACAATATTCCAAGATCGACAAAAGGCATTCATATACATATTCATTCATTATAAATACATAGCTAAAGTGCTTTAGTTTTAGTGAATTCTGGGCCAATGGGGTATAGATATTAAGTTTATGGTGACTAACTGATCCCAGTTTACTAGCTTGGTATATCAAAAATAGTAATCAAAATAAAGGTGCAAAAATCAATTGAAAAATGCGAAATCTGTTCTGTTCTGCAAGTTCACGCTTGAGTAAAGATGTACTCCATTAATTTGTGAAACCATGGAGTGATAGTTTTTCAGTCAAGATAATGTTGGGAATTTTTTTTTCATTATCGAACATCCAATAACTGTAGGTTTCTGACAGAAAAAAATCAATTTTTGTGTCAGTAGTGTGATACTCTGTAAATTATCAGAAGAAATCTGGTGAGATTCTACAGACATTGCTTTGAATTATATGTTTTCGCAAATAAAAAAGGTTTCTTTTTTTTCATCTCATATATTTTGTTATCATGGTTATAGAATATGAAATGATCTTAATCATTTTGTTATAATTAAAATTTTTAATTTTATTTGATACTTTGATGTGAAAGCATATGATGGAATAGGATACATATACATCTTGTGAAGTTATTCACCAAGTCGATGCAATCTCTTTTCATGCATTCATTAATTTCTTCTTTTTTTATATATCTAAAAACGTTTCTTTAAAAAATTGAAATCTGGAGAGGGAACAAAACATTACCCAGCTGCTTGCACACCACACAAGCTTTAAATATGAGAATGCAGAATGGTGATAAAGTCGGTATTGAAGAAAATATCTTAAAGCGTTCACCACAGGAAGCTGCTGAAGAAACAATTAAAACACATTGCTTACAAGTACACCTCTTAAGCTTGACAAGTGGGTGCCGTATTGTTTCCATTTGTTCTTGGTACTGATTTTCTCTTGTATTTCTTTGACTCTTAAGTGTTTTAGGATTTTAGCAAATTGTAGATAGTTAGGATTGGCTTAGTGGATGATCAATCTGTAAATTTTTGATTGGTATAAAACGTATTTCTCATCATGCACAAGATGTAGTGTTTGAAAAATTCTCATTTTATTTAATTACATGTACATTGTAGTTTGCTTTAGTTCTATGCAGTTGTCCTTTTAAGTCAACTTCACTTAATTGATGCAGACCAGAATATACTGTCTTCCCTAATAATTTCCAAATAATGAAACCTAATAATTTCCAAATAATGAAATATTTAATATTCTGTCCAATTGTCTCTTTACACAAAGACACTAGGAGCCTCCCCGAGCCATGATAATTGTCTTTTTGGTATTGGTAAAAAATTGGTAAAAAAGCCTCCATTGGTAAAAAAGCATTCTCCTCTAGATTAAGTAAGATTACAGTATTGATTTTATGGGGTCCATTTTTTTACTGGAAGCATCCCTGCTAGCGAACGCTTAAAAAAATCTGATATTTTATCCACTATAGTCTGTGAACTAAAATGATATCAAATGCAAATTAGCCTTACTTCTTAGAGTATTAAGTAGGTTATATCATGTATAAGTACGGTTAGATGGTGATTATGATTTGGGTCAAATTGGCACACTGCTCAGTAATATCAACTTATTCATATACATTTACCATAGCTTATATTTTGCATCATTAAGCATGCCATATGTGTGTTGGCAGCTAGAATAGATGTTTTATTTTTTACGTATTTTGTTTTTATTTGTTCGGTGAACACAGTATTTGATACAGTGCATTTGCAGCTAAATGGAACATTTGGGGAAATGACCTTAAGTAGAGAATTTCAATGTGAATTATGTGAAAATTTATTTTCAAAAAAAGCCTTTTGCACAGGCAGTTGAAGAAGATAAAATTTTATTACATTAATATATCAGCTTTAATAATTGCATGAACCTGCTATTGGTCAAATCAAGTATTTTAAATAACATTGAATAAGTTCATGCAGTGTAAGATAGGGAATTTGGGTATACAGGGTATAGCTAGTTTCAATATTTACAATTGTTTACTACCTACTAGGAGGTGGCAGTTTTATGACAGAGCAATAAACATGTGAAAGCTGTTGTGTTTTATTTAATTTCATGAAGAGGTAAAACAGGTCTTTGTATTACTTTTATGCAGAAAATTTTCATTTATGGTGTGTTGTACATATACAAGAGCCTGTGCTGTTTTCTAGCACAGTAGCACCTCTGTTCAAAGTAAAATGGGTTACATTGTTTAGGTAAAAAAAAACCAAGATCATTAAAACTTTAAATACTTCACATAATAAAATGTGACATTAAAAATTTGAGAAAGTGTTCAAAATGTTGAGAAAGTGTTCAAAAATGTTGAGAGAATTGCTTCAGGTCACAGGGATGATTTCACAGTGGAGGTTCAAATTTTTGTTTTGTAAGGCATCCCAGATGTACCAGTCTTGTAAAGTAGGCTTTCCCCCCTAAAATCTTTCCCTCCAGAAAACTGGCTCTAGAGTAGGATTTCCCCCCAGAAAACTGACTTTAAAGTAGGAATTCCTACCTGAAAAACTCGTTCTAGAGCAGATTTACCTTACGGAAATCCCACACCAGAGTCAATTTTCCGGGGGAAATCCTACTCTGTGTAGTAGTTATAGAGTGCAATCCCCCCCCCCCATAAAAAAATTGATGTACTTATGTTTTGAAGGGGAGGGGGTGGTACATTGTTACAAGTGTCCCTTCTTAAACATGGTTACCAGATGTGGTGAACATACGTATAAGAAGAATGAGAATGTCAGTCCGTTTGTCTGTCTAGCTGTCTCAACTGTCTGTCCCAAATGGTTTTCCACACTTTTTTTTCTAAATGTTTGAAGATATTGAGCTGATTTTGGTATGGCATGTATCTTGATGAGGTTCGAGTTTGCATTTTATTCCACTTCAATAATTTTTTTATGATGACCTTTTCAATTTTTGAGAATTTTCCGCAATATTTTTTTTAAATGAAGGGAGATATTGAGCTAAATTTTGCTGAAACATCAATTCTGAGGATATTTACATGTGCATTTCTTTTTTTATACCCCCCGCAAACGAAGTTTAGGGGGGGTATATTGGAA